CCCACCGTTGCAGCCGACCCAAGGCTCCAGCAGGCGCGCGGGTGGTATGGCCCCGACGTCGTCTTCGTCGTCTTCTTCGTCGACCCCAGGCGACGGCGGCGGCCCGGTCACCGCCAGGCAGCCCGGGGTGCGCGGCCGGTCGCTGGCGGCCGCGTGGCGCCTCCGGGCGGCCCGGCGCGCGCAACAAAGCAGGCGCTGGAAGGCCTTGCGGAAGTCGGGACTGCGGCAGTAGATGATGGGGTTGAAGGCCGAGTTGGCGTAGCCCAGCCAGTTGAAGAAGACGAAGAGGTAATCGGGCACCAGGTTTCGGTGGAAGGCCTTCACCACATTGGCTAGGAAGAAGGGCAACCAGCAGAGCGTGAACACGCCCATGATAATGCCCAGCGTCTTGAGCGCCTTCTGCTCGCGCAGGGCCACGAGGCGCGAGGGACGCCGCTTGCTGGTGCGCCCGTTGGCCACCGGGGCTGTGGTGCTCGGTGAGCCCGGCGAGGGCGCGGGCGAGGGCGGCCGCGTTGGGCCGCCGAGGAAGCGGCGCTCGCAGCTGTCGATCTTCTTCACCTGCTTCTGGGCCTCGCGGAACACCCGCAGGTACACGAAGGCCATGATGCACAGAGGCACGTAGAAGGAGACGACCGACGAGGCGATGGCGTAGGCCCGGTTAGTGACGAAGTCGCAGCACTTGGGATCGTTGTAGCAATTGCGCGCCTCGTCGCCCTCGGCCCGCCACCAGTGCATGAGGATGGGCAGAAAGGATACCAAGGCCGAGATGGCCCACACGGTGCAGACCAGGGCGCGCGCCCGAGCGCGGGTCAGCAGGCTCTGGTAGCGGAAGGGCGAAGTGATGGCAAGGTAGCGGTCCAGGGCGATGACACACAGTGTCTCGATGCTGGCAGTCACACACAGCACGTCCACCGAAGTCCAGAGCTCGCAGAAGAAGGAGCCATACTCCCAGCGTCCCCACACCACGATGGTGGCCCCGAATGGCACCACCAGCAGCCCCATGACCAGGTCGGCGCTGGCCAGGGACATGATGAAGAGGTTGGTGAGCGTCTGCAGTCGCGGCGTCTTGGCGATGGCCACGATTACTAGCACGTTGCCCGCCACGGTGAAAAGCACGATGAGTGCCATCAGCAGGCCCATGCCGGCCGTCCACTGCTGCGACAGCGGCGCGGGGCCTTCGCTCGCCGAGGGCAGCAGAGAAGGGGGCGGCGACGCCGGCACCAGCAGTCGCGCCGCTGTGGCCGCGCCGTCGGGGAGCGGCGCGGCCGTTGACAGGTTGCCGGGCTCGGAGGCGCCCAGGACGAGCGCCCCCGCGCCCATACCGAGCTCCGGAGGCCGGGGGCGGGGAGTGTGGCGGGGCTGGGCCGTGGTTGGGGAATCCCCCAGGAGCCCGGACTGCGGGGCGCGCAGAGGGAGGTCGCGGCTGGGTCAGGACAGCCTCGGCGCGGGGCCCGAGGCATCGGCGCCGGGCGCCTTCCCCGTGGGAGCCAGAGCCGAGCGCTGTCGCCGCCGCCGCCGCCGCCGCCGCTGCTGTTGGAGCCGCTGCCGCTGCTGGAACAGCCGCCGGGACCTCAGCATGTTTCTGAGCGCGCCGGGCCCACAGCTCAAGCACCCACCCCACTCCGCTCCCACCCTCCTCCCACCCCCAAGCCAACCCCTTGGGTCTCGCGTCAGGCTCCTTTAGCCAATCAGGTCCAAGGCACGCCCCTATCTAGTCCCCCTCCCTCCTCAACTCTCCACACCTCCCTCCTACCGGCAAATAGGTGGCTAGGGGGAGTTGGGGGCAAAGCCTGGAGTGAGAGCATTCCTGGCGCCCGCCGGTTCCTGCGCGCCCTCTCGGTTCGGCGTCCCGGTCACCCAGCGCCTGCTACTGCACCCGGCACCTTTGCGCGTCGCGGCTCCCACTAATTCCTGCACTCCGCTCCCTCCTACGCCCCTCTTGTCTCCAGCGCCTGGCTCCTTCACATCCCGCTCCCTCCTGCGCCACCCCCAAACCTCCTGCGTCTCCTGATCCCCAGTGCCCCTAGAGCTGTCTACCTCCAGTGGCCCGGTCCCCTTTAACAGGGAAGGAGTCTAGCTGTTCTTGACGCGCCGGAGTGCCTTGGACAGTCTGTCAGCTGGGGTTGGAGGAGTTTGGCAGTGAGACTGTTACTCGTTCGGGTAACCTAGCAGAGTGTATGTAAAACTCGTCCCTCATCAAAAGGGGACCCAGCCAGCCTGCGCCCTGCCAGCTCGGAGGATCGGAGGCGGGTGTTAGTGTTTAGGGGGAAGTTTCCTGCAGAGCGCTTGTAGGAGCAAACCGCGTATCTGTCAGCATCGCTCTTTATGCGCTCTTCTTGTAAAGATCTCCTGTTATTACAGTGCAGTCCACGCAAAAAGGAGACGAAGGCTTGTGCATCTAACAGCTAACGCTGAGGAGGACGAGTTATAAAAACACACACTTCTCATCCACATCTAATCAATGTGAGTATGATGCAACAGTGTGTGTTGAGAATCAAGAGAGAAAGGTTTTAGGAACTACAAAGTAAAGGACACCGGCAGAAAGAAATTGCATTTCATATTCAGGAATAACACCATTATTTTGTGTTTTATGCCATGATTTTATAATTTGATCCGGGTCAATGCAAACGAAAAGGTACTGCCAGTTGGGCTTGACAGAATGAACTAAGATTTCAGATTTCTTGCGCTGCAGGGTTGTTTTCTCCTTTGCCCAAGTAACCAGATTCTCAAAACTTTGGGATTAATTTTGGAAGGGTGAGAGAGGAAAATACATAAATACGCAAGAGGCTTAGAATCCAAAAGCATTTAAAGATATAGCAATGGTTTTTGAGTTGTCTAATGAGTAGGGTTGAAACCCATTTATTAGTGAAATCCAGGCTGCTGTGGGTGGAGTGTATGGGGGGAGAGGAGACCTGAGAGGGTCGCACTAACATAAAAGGAACAGAAAGACCCTTCTCTAATTTAGTTCTTAATTTAGGCCTGAAAAATAAGAATCTTTCAGAAATACATCACTTTTATTTTTTTTACATAAGAGTGTATGAACATTTTATATAACGTTAACACACCTTTCTAGCATTGAAATAAAAAAGTCAGCATCTGGAAAGAATTTAAAAAAGCAACAAGTGGACCACATTTGACGTTTTACTGTGTAGATCAAAAGTGACTTCCATAGCTCCCCAACTCAAGGAGAAATGGTGGCACTTAACAACAACAATTATGTGTATGGAGTCCTGGTGTGGCACTGTGGGTTAATGCACTGGACTGCAAAGTTGGTTTGAACCACAGGGTCAGCGGTTCAAGCTCACTAGACACTACTTGGAAGCCCTATTGTTGTTGTTGTGTGCCGTGGAGTCGGTTCTGACTCATAGCAACCCTGTACAGGGTTTCCGAGAGCAGAAAACCTCATCTTTCTCCCGCAGAACAGCTGGTAGTTTCAAACTGCTGACCTTGAGGTTAGTAGCTAGATTCTTAACCACTACGCTACCAGAGCTCCTTACAGGGTTGCTATAAGTCGGAACTGTCTTAATGGCAGTTAACAACAACATTAAGTTTATAAAGTCAAGCAATTTTACTTTCTTTTACTAAAATCCAAGGTCCAAACTTGGTATTCAGAGTGTTACAAGGGGAGACTGTTGTTGTTGTTGTTGTTAAGTGCTGTTTAGTAGGTTCCAACTCATGGCGACTCTGTGTAGGGTTTCCCAGGAGCAACTGGTGAGCTTGAACCGTCAACCTTGTGGTTCAAACCAACTTTGCAATCTAGTGCATTAGCCCACAGCACCACACCAGGACTCCGTGTAGATAAGGGGGACAAGTAGGGGACAAGTGATTTATTTATTCACTCAGGGTTCTATGAGTCAGTACTGACTCAATGGCACTTAACAACAACAACCCTAGCAGATAGTGACCTGCATCTGCTAATTTAGGGAGGCTGAGGGAACAATAGGGTCTAGAAGGCACCCTAGTGACTTTTCTTTCAAGCCCTCAAGGGGTCATCTCAAAATAGCTAAGGAATTAGAAAGAGTTGAAGTTGATGCTGCCCAGGAAAGAGGTTCTGAGTGACTGGCTGTGAGGTGGACTGGGGAATGTGGGGGAAAGGTTCTCTATCAGTCGCCATCTTTCTGTCAAGTATTGTTACCAGAATAGAGTGTGCCAACCTTAAGTGCCCCTGAAGGGTGAAAGACTTGCTTTTCTGTGAGTGATAAAGCCGGAACTCGTTGGTAGAGGTTCCGCGTGTAATCACATGCATAAATCCTCCAGGTAGCAGGGTTTGAATAATTGAAAAACTCTCTTGAAATATCCTTATTTCTCATTCAGAGATACATGAAGTTTCTCTGAATTTATGTATTAAAAAACCCCACACTGACTTATAAATAGAATATAAATTATTCTAATAGGAGTTCCAAGTTAGGGCTGTAAGCATAAAGGGGTAGTAGGTATTCTTGGGGCTCTCCTTTAGTTGTACAAAGTGAAATGTTGGCAACAGCCCATCTCCAACTTAAATTAGCTTTCTTTTTCAAATAAAATGTTCTGTTGTTGTTCATTGTTAAGTGCCATCCGGTCTTGGAGCTCCTTTAATTCCTATACTTCATGACTTTTTTTGAGACAATTTCTATCTTTAGATGAGAATACAAGACCAAGATGAAAAGGTTCAATATATTCACTTATCCAAATATTACATGTTTTGAGGAGTTGCAACTTCAAAATCAGTAACTCTTCTGTCCCCCTATCTGCAGTTGTTAAAGTGAATCAGTTTGGAACCCATACATTTGACAGTACTTTAGGGGATAACAGTCTCAGCAACAATGCTCTTCAGCACACTTGACAGGTAGCATGCGTCTCAGTGTTTCCCACCCACCCCTCTCCCTTTCCCATCCCACTCCTGTTGCCCCACATTTGAACCTGGCATGAGCTCTTTTTGATCTCCCTGCCTCTAGTCCTTCCCCTCAATTTGCTGTGGCTAGCCATAGCCAAATTAATATTTCTGAAACACTCCTTTGACCAAGCTGCTTCTCTGTTCAGACAACCTAACTCAACTTGACGTTTGAAGTCTTCCACAGTGTAATTCCAAACGATCTTTGCAGAGCTATCGCCCACTAGAATCATCTATTTCATCTTAATGTGAAGTTCTGTGCTCTTTCCTTTCTTGAATCTGAACTCTTTCTCACTGAGTTCCTTCCACCAAAAATCACTTCTTTCTGTCTTAATGGATTCAGTTTCTAAGCCATGACTGAAGTTTTATTTCTTTTGTATTCTTCCCTACTCCCTAATTTTGGACATGGTCTTTCTTTTTTTTTAAAGTCAAGATGGTTTCCAATATACTAAATCATTTTTAACTTAAAAAAATTATCATATGTTAAAAAAAAAACCTTTGTTGTTGTTGTTATGTGCTGTCGAGTCAGTTCCAACCCATAGCGACCCTGTACAGGGTTTCCAAGGCTGCAAATCTTTACGGGAGCAGAAAGCCTCATCTTTCTCCCGTGGAGCGGCTGGTAGTTTCGAACCGCTGACCTTAAGGTTCGCAGCCCGATTCGTAGCCACTACACTACCAGAGCTCCTTTGGAAACCCTATAGAGGGTTGTTATGAGTAAGAACCTACTTGACGGCACTTAACAAGAACAATATAGTACTGGTAAGGTGGGGACAAATGGGCTGTTGTTTTATAGTTTTCAATACAAACCAAGGAAAACCCATTGCTGTTGAGTTGATTCTAACTCACAGCAACCCTACAAGACAGAGCTGAGCTATACTATAGCAATTCCAAGGCAGTCATCTGTGGAGCAGCTGGTGGGTATGGACTGCGGACATTTGGTTAGCAGTCAAGTGCTTAACTACTGCACCACCAGGGAATCGTTACAAACTAAGAAATTCAAATAGCTTCTTGTAAATGGAAGAAATTCTGGTTCATTTTAATAATCCCAATTCAAAGAGAAAATGGAGCCCTGGTATGGCGCTGTGAGTTAATGCACTGGACTGCAAAGTCATTTGAACCGCAAGGTTGGCAGTTCAAGCTCACCAATCACTCCTTGGAAACCCTATACAGGGTCGCTATGGGTTGGAATCGACTCAACGGCACTTAACAACAACAACATCCAGCAGGCTGATTGCATAGACCCTTTTCAGCAGGTTGCTCTGACACTGTAGTCACAGGGGGCCTGGACCCCTACGGATACAGTGGTCACAGTGCACGATGGCTAACCAAAAAGTCAGTGGTTTAGACCCACCGGTTTCTCAAGTGAACGATGTGGCAGTCTGCTTCTGTAAAGCTTCTTGGTGGTGGTGGTTGTGTGCCATGGAGTTGGTTGTGAGTAAATAGTGACCAT